CTCCCGGTCCGGGTAAGCGCTGTGGGCGCAGGGGGTGAGGGGGGCGTGGGAGTCCCGGTTCCATAGCTGGAGCTAGTCCAGCGCCTCTAGTCCCCTCTCTGCCCGTCAGGACCTGGGCGGCGCTGTCACACCGTACGCCCCTCAGGAAAGGCCCGGGACAGCGCGGTGTCCCCGAGCTTCAGGCCTGAACGGGCCAGCCCAGCGGGCGAGTCACCACCTTCTCAACAGTCGGGACCTCAGCTGTTGGCAGCTCCTGGGAGCCACTTCTGAGCTCTGTCCCGCTGGCTGGGACCGGGGACGGAATGGCTGGGCCCTGGAGGGACTGCGTCCTCGTGGGGAGTGGCGAGCTTGACCGCACGCACCAGCCCCTTGGGCAGCTTCTCGGGTCCCACTTGGAAACTGCGGAAAACTTTCTTGGACTCTGGATTCCCCAGGGCCGCAGCTGGAATGACCTTGAGAACCAGTGTATGGGTGGCTCACACTTCCTGGGTACCCATCTGGGGCCAGCTGTGTATGATCTCCCTTCATCACAACAGTATTTCAAACTTACAAAGACTAGAGCAGATGTTTGCAGACCCAGCACTTCACAAAACATTAACTCAGTTTATTTGGTGCTGTTATCCCCTTTGCAGGTGAGAAAACTGAGGCAAGGGCCCATGACCTAGTAAGGCTAGAGCTGGGATGTCATCCTCCCCCACCCCGAAACCTGGCCCCAGACTGCTCACAACCTCTAAACTGTTCTGCATTTGCTTTGTAAATAAGGAAAGTGAGCCACTCCCAGTGGGAAGTAATTTCCCATGGGTGACCCAGCTCCTAAGTGCTGGGCTGGAGGAGGAGGGACTTGTACACCACTGAGGAGAGATGCACCCAGTGTAGCCCCTGGCTACAAGGGCAGTGGAACTTCCGGTGAGCCTGGAGTGGACTGTGAGAAGGGCTTCTTCTTCTGGTAATCCCTGCCTTGGCTGGGAATGACTGAGGTTGGCCTGCGGCCCCCGTCAGGCCCCTCTCTTGGCCTTTGCGGAGCAGCCATCAGGCAGTAGATTCTGTGGGCACTAAGGTCCTTCCTTTTCTGCAGGGTGACCCCTGCTTTCCTGATTTCAGGGCCTGTCAGAGAGGGTACCCTGATTAGCAGTGTTTAGGGATCAAGGACAGTCTCCTTTCTAGGAGCCCTAAAGAGCCTTGATAGCTGGGGTTTGAGATCCCTTAGACTCTGTCTTCCTGTGCCAGACCCCTGCTCTTGCTTGCACAGAAATTTGCCACATACCTGCCACCCATTGTAGGTCTGCAGCAGGACTCCTGGCTTCAAAGGAAGCACCTGCTTGATACCCAAGTCCACACTTCTGAACCTGCACCCTTCAGCTCTCCATTTTGTGCTGGAGTAGGACCTGCATGGTCACCTGGTCCCACAACAAAGCCAGCAGGCAAAACGCTTACTAAAAACCAAGCAACAATCCTGAATTGCAGTTAAGAGTGGGCTTTGAAGCCAGCTCTCTTACATTCAAACTTCAGGCCCACCTTGTGCTATTCCAGCTTTAGCAAACTTCTTACACTCTCTGTGGCTCACACATCTTTTCTGTAAAGCAAGGATTAGTGGAGTATGAGGAAAACTTGGGTAAAGTGCTTAGAACTGTGCTTGGCATGGAGTTCCCATCAGCAGTTAGAAGATGTAGCCTTTACTTCTGGAGAAGGTGGTATGTTTATCATGGATACAGCTAATTTTAGATGATGAGCTTAATATGAATTAATCACCCATGGAGTAGGTCTGGTAGTGCTTTGGCCTCTGTCTGGCAAACGTAGGCTCCTGGTGCTGAGAAGTTTTGGGTAACACTGTATTTCATTCTGAGAGTCATTGTCATGGGTACAGTCTAAGGATCTCTTTGGTGCTGATGGAGTACTGGCAGTGTGCATTGCTGGTGGACCTAGAGGCTCCTGCCTGCTGAGATAAGTGGGGAGTCTCTTTAGGCAGAAGAGAAGGGACCAGTCCATGTCCATGTCTGTGTCCTGGGCAAGGCAGGTGCCTTATCTCTGTCAGAGGATCATCAACCTCAGCCTCTGCATGAGAAGTACATTGTGCAGTTTGGCTACATAGGTGTCCTTTGGGGCTGGTTTAAGAGCTGTGTTCATCCTTTTTATGACATTAGCCGAATGCAAACAAGAGGGTTGGGCCCTCAGCTCTTGTCCCCAGGCATTTGAAGTTCTCTCACAGGGTGACCAGCTGCAGAATGTATGGGATTCCATGAGAAATGAAAACTCAGGGTCCCTTATTAAAAAATTATTAAAATTTCAAGAAATCAACAGTGAAGAATTAATGCTGGTGGGAGCCCTTCCAAGCTCAGGGCCTTGTGCTCCTGCAGCTCAGTCACTTTCCTATTCTTCTTACCTCTGTGGCTCTCAGGACCTGCATTTTAAAGTCTTTCTTTTCTGGAGCCTTGTTCTCACCATTAAAGATATCCTTTTCCCATTTTCCAAATGAGTAAACTGAGGCTCCTTTGGCCTCCTACCTAACAGAGCCAGGCTCCCAGCCCACCTCTGTTGGTCCAGTGGCTCTTCACTAACTCCCCACACTGTTGCTTCTGGGTCTCATTGCTTTTCCTCAGAGAGCTGGAAAGACCTGGGCCCATGACCATCCCAGTGCCAGCCCAAGGGGTACCTGGGACACTCGAGTATCAGAGCTCAATGAAGGAATGGGACTGTGGGAACAAGAATTCCTCCCTCTGTTTGGCTCAGTTTCTTCCCTGCCTGTGTTGTCACCTTCCTTTTTAAAAAGAAATAGTTGTTGGGTCCCTGGTTGGTACAGAGAGTCCCATGTGCAGGCAGAGGTGCCTCTCTGGGCCCCTGTAGAGTGCAGCTCACCAAGGGACAGAAAATCTTTCCATTTCCAGCCTGCACTGTGTTCCTCCTGTTGCAGGTCCTTTGCACAGCTGGGACCCTCTACCAGGAAGGTCACTTTTTGCTGCTGTCTAAGCTGTCTGTTATTAACTCCAGTGCAGCCTCCAGCTTACTGGTTCATTCTTAAGTCTCTTACCTTGAACTTTGGGTTGAGAGTATGCCATGATTTTCTTAAACCCCGCACATTTTCTCTGTAGCCCTTGGTGCTATAGGAACATCCTCCTATGTCTCTTTCCTGTTGAATGGATGCCTTACTCACTGGCTTCATAGCTCCAGAAAGCCACACTGTGCCTGGCAATTGGAGCAGAAGGAAGAAGCAGAGACTCGGAGTGGGAAGGGATCCTAGGTCCTACTTCAGCTCTCTGCAAAGCAGGTCACAGAACAAACTCTTAAATTCTTCAGGCTGGTGGGACTTAAAAGATTGTACTTCCCAGTGGGGAGAGAGGAGAATCAGCCCTCCCGGGTGGAGGAGAGCAGGGATACCCACCCTGTTTATCTTGCTGCTGTCCGGGCAAGCTCTGTTAGCAGGCTGGTCCACAGGGTGTCCCTGAGCTCTCAACAACCTGCCTCTGTCCCATGGAGAATGGTTTCTTGTCCTCTTTCTTCCCGCTGCCCTTTCCTCTGTGAAGTTGCCTGCCCCTCTCCCATGCTGGCACTGAAGTAGGCATCCTGCTTAGCTCACTTTTGCCATTCTGGTCCTCCAGAACCTCTTCCCTCTGGAGATCCTAGTGCATGAAGCCACTTACACCCAGGCCAGGCCTCTGCCTTTGCCAGCTCAGTGCTGGGGACAGCCCTGCCCAGGGAGCTCCCTGAAACCTGTGACCTCCAGTCCAGCTTTCTAGCTGTGGTCAGGGACCCTGCCATCTCCCTTTCAATCCCAAATCCTTGTGTTGAAGGTAGTTGTGAATACTGGAGCTGGTGGCTGTGAATATTTAAAAAATCTTTATCAGTGCATTTTTGCAGTAAACAATGTCTACATTCCTTGTGGGGAGCTGGTGCATAACACATTTTAATTCCTTTTATATCCCCTTCCCTTCCCCTTTCTCCTCCTCCTTCTCCACCTCTTGTTCCCTTTCCCTTTTGCAAAAGATCTATCTCCCTGTTTCCTACTGCCTGTCTTTTATTTTGCTCTTTAATTTGTTCATACTTTGGCTTTCTCATATAAGGGAAATCATGCAATATTTAAGCTTGTGTGTCTGGTTTATTTTTACTGAACATTACAGTCTTGGTCAACAGGTTATATCTGTTTGCTAGGGAGACCATAACACAGTGCCCCAGACGGGGCTTAAGCAACAAGAATTTACTTACGCACAGTTCTGGAGGCCAGAAGCCTGGGCTCAAGGTGTCCGACATGGTGCTTCCTCCAGGGCCTCTGTCCTTGGCTTGCTGATGATACTGACCATCTCCTCTCTGCCAGGTCTCTGTGCTGATCTCTTTTCATAAGGTCATGTTGGAGCAGAGCCCACCCTCGGGACCTGAACACCCTCTTTAAAAGCCCCATCTCCAAATACAATCACACACACAGTGCTGGGGTTAGGATTTCCACATGGTAATTTGGGGGATATATAATAAGGGCCTTTGTACTATGACGGGAGAAACAGGTGCCACAGCCATTTGTCAGGGAAAATAAGGCAGAAAGAAGGCAAGGATGAGGGTGCTGCAGGGGAGAAGGCAGGGTGTGTCCTAGAGGCTGGCCCTGTCCCTCTGTCTATCTCTCTTTCCTGGGGGCAACAGAACTGGCCTCTCCAGGGCTGCTTTTGCACTTGAAACAACCTCTTGGTTGCTGTCACTATAAATAAGCCCTTCTTCATACAGTGTTAATGGGTGGATCCTGGGGTGCTCACTGTCCTCCCACCTGTACTCTCCACTTCCTGCCTTCCTAGCTCCTTGAGCCCCAGTGGGAGCCCTCGGGTGGGAGTGGCTGGCCTTGGGTTCTGGGAGAAAGTTGCAGGGCCTCTGCTGCCTGCCTCTGGTGACTGCTAGGGTGGAATCAGCTGGGGGTCCTACCTGTGCCTTGCTTTCCAGAGTCCTACTGTGGGGCCTTAGCTCTCAGCAGGGAGTGCAGCAGGGCCCCAGGCAAAGAGTCTGCCAGGTGGGCAAGGCACAAGGAAGTTGTGGGCCGAAACCTCCTCTCTTCTCTATGCTAGTGACTTCTGACACCAGAAGGACTGTTACTGGAGGAGCCAGCCCCAGCTGCAGGACACTCCCTGCAGTCCAGGAACATGCATTTAATGACATCTATAAGGTGCTTATTGTCAGAGGAGGTGACACTCACAGGTTTCCAGGACACCTCAGCTGTGTTTCCAGGTGTCTCCATCATCACTTTGTCCATCATCACTGTGAACTCAGGGGACCTCCCACCTATTCCCCAGATGCTTAGAGTCCAGCTGAGAATTGGCCTGGTTTCCTCTTCACTTTCATCCCCTCTGCTGCTATGGTGTGGCATGCTGATCATTGGCCTCCAAAAACTCTGTGTCCTACCTCCTGTGAATGTTACCTTAGTGACAGAGGCACTTCCTGGGTGCCAGTAAGGCAAGATTGTTGGGTTGTTCTGGAGGGTCCTGTAGGCCAGTGCCTGGCTCCTAAGAGATGAGGAGATGGAAAGAAAACTGGCCCTAACCTCAGAATGCAAAAGGCCTCTGGTGGGTGAAATCCTCAGTGGAAGCAGTAGAAGGGAGTAAATGCTATACTTTGAACAGCTTGTCCCCTCTGAGGCTCAGCTGAGGTTTAATTTCCGTCAAGAGGCAGGACTTTCAGAAGTGATCAGGGCTCCATCCTGAATGGATTAATCCACTCATCCAATTAATGGATTCATGGGCCAATGAGCTGTCATAAGGGTGTGTGTCTACAATAAAAGCCAGTGGGGCGAGGTCTCTTAAGCACCAGTCCCTGGTCACATGATGCCTGTTGCCACCAGGTCTATGCATCACCAGATGTGAGCCCTTGTACTTGGACCAGGACCTCTTTTCTTTTTAACCTACTCTGTAGTATTGTGTTCTTAGCCACAGAAAGCAGACAGAGTAAGACCTATTGTCAGTTGTTTATAGTGAAGTGTGCTTTTTTTTTTTATGACAAGCTCAGCATAGCCTCATGGCACCTCAACAACCCACCTCCTCCTTGTCAAATGTTCAAATCTTTCTCCATCTCTTTTTCCTTCTTCCTGTTTGCTTGACTGCAGCACTGACCAGGGAGCAAGGATTTTGGTAACTCTGATATCTGGGGCCCAAACTCCCTCCTATGACCAGAAGGAGATGTTGGGGGTCTGAAGTTGTGGCTTGGAATGGCCCTGGGGTTACCTGCTGCTGTGGCTGTGTGGGCAGGGAACTGTGCTTCCTGGTGGTACCCTGGGCTGTAGGGGGTTGGGGATATGGGACCTCATGGGGGGAAAATTTAGCTTGGAAAGCAGGAGTCTTCAGCATTCTGCAACAAAATCCTTTTTTGGCTCTGTCTGCCAGAGTTTCTCAGTTGGTTTTCTGTTGCTACAACACATACCTGGAACCTGGTAATTTATAAAGAATAGAAGTGCCTTTGGCCACCCCAGGGCTCTCTTCCTCTCCTTACAAAGCCATTACTACCATCCTGGGGCCACACTCCTGACCACATCTAATCCCAAAGGCCCCCTCTCCCAACAGCATTTACCTACGGCTTTGGGGATTAACTTTCCAACACAGGGACGCTGCAGGGACACATTCAAACCATAGGACTGGGGGCTGTGCCTGTGAGCCCCAGAGCGTGAACAGTGGCTCCTGAGAAAGATCACAGCACTTGGCCTCTCAGAGGTCTGCTGGTTTGAATGGCCAGGTGTATTGGGACGGCTCCACCAAAGGTCAACTCAAGGGCAGAACGTCAGCTAGGGTGGGCAGCCTCAGACATTTCTAAAAAACCAAAGGACAGGAAGTAGTGGGTGGGGCCTGAATATGCAGCATCTTTTGGAGCACCGGGATAGTCCCTCCTCACTCCCGAGGCACCTGTATTCCTGCACTTCAACTCTGAGAACCTAGGCCTGAGCCTGAGGAAGTCCCTGAATCACTCCTGCTGCTCCAGCTCAAGGTGCTGGCTTAGCACCCATTGACCCTCTACTGAGTATCTGCCCTGGCTGGAGTCAGGAAGGGAAAGGCCAGCTCAGTGCTGCGGCAGACAGGCCGTCAGCAAGGGCAGCCTGACCCAACACTGCCCACACTAATGATTACAGGCAGTGGGAATGCTGGTTGCATACATGGCTGTGAGCCAGGGGTTCTCAAGAGAGTCCAGCTCTCCAGATTCTCATATGGAGTCTGATGAATTTTAGATGGCAGTAACTAGTTCCAGTTTTATGAAAATATCTGGCCAGGTGGTCAGTGTTTGGCAGCCACAGGAAAGGGATCACCCAGAGATGAGAGTGTGAAACCCTGATGTCCCCCAGAAGAGCCCTCCTCTGACCAGCAGGAAGGTGGGGGAATGATCAGGGGCATGGGATCACCTGCACCAGCCACATAGGCATGGGGGCCCCACAGCTTTGAGGTCCTGCCCAGCCCCTTGGTTGTGCTTGGTACCCCTGTGGAGAGATTGTGGCTTTCGCTCACCATTTCCCCTTTTCTGTTATTTTGCAGAGGTCTGTGGAGCTCTCAATGTCACCGTGTCCCCAGGGCCTGTGGTTGACTATTTGGAGGGGGACAATGCCACTCTCCTGTGCCATGTGTCCCAGAAGAGGCGCAAGGACAGCCTGCTGGCCGTGCGCTGGTTTTTCTCAGGCAACGACAGCCCAGAGGCCTTGATGGTGAAGATGACCAAGCTCCGGGCCGTACAATACTATGGGAACTTCAGCCGCAGTGCGCACCGCCGGAGGCTGCTGCTGCTAGAAGAGCAGCGTGGGACGCTGTACAGGCTCTCAGTATTGACACTGCAGCTGGCCGACCAGGGCCAGTATGTCTGCCGAGTGCAGGAGATCAGCAAGCACCGGAACAAGTGGACAGCCTGGTCCAATGGCTCCTCGGCCACTGAGATGAGAGGTAAGATGGGGAGAGTGTGGGGGAGGAGCAGAACCAGGGTCCCCACTCAGGTCACCACGTAGGGCCTGGTGTTGGCTCTACCAGGAATCCTCACAGGTAAAGATCAGACTGGCTGTGCACTCTTAGGGGAGCAGCCTGACACTTGTTAGGGTGCTGAGGACAGATTGCATTTATCAGGGACTGTTGCAGGAGAGCATAGATCCCCCTGACTCTGGGCAAAGGCCTGGTCTGCTTTAGTGGAGAAAGAAGGAGTTGGGGATATGAGGCCGTAGATGTAAGTAGATAGTATCTCTAGTTCTCTGATAACCCTGAGAACTGCCTGGGTTTGCTAAGGAACTTCCGGAAGCTGGCCTCCCATCTTCCCAAAGAGGCTGGGGGCAGGGTCTGCCTCCAGGTGGTGAGGAACCCACAGAAACTCTTTGGGAAGCCCTCTGATTCCTCAGCAGCCAGACATGCTCTAGAGAGGGGCTCTTCCCAGGCTTACAGATGGGAGTGCTCAGGGAGTCCGGGCGTGGGTTTCTTAGCCCATTGCTGGCCAGAGTGTGCTCAGGGAAGATTCTTGATCAGTGCCCAGCCTTCATCTCAGGTCTGCTCAGCCCTGCGCACTCTGGCTTAGCTCTTGGGGGCACCCACAGAGAGACCCACGTCAGCCTGGGGTCCTGATGTGAATGGCAAAGCCCACGCACAGGGCAAGTGGTAGCTCTGATGCATGATCCAGTGGATGTGATCCAAACTCAGGCTCAGCAACCCTTCAGGAAGTAGGCCAAGGCCTAGAGGTAGTGCCCCCTCCTGGAGATGGACAGGAGATGTTCACTGCTCTCAGAACGTCATGGTTTCCCCATGCCACCTTGGAGGGCTGCCTTGCTTTGTTACCAGAGGCCCAAGAAGGAGGACACCTCTTACCAGTCTTAACCTCTACAGTGCACTCAAGCTATATTTTTGGTTGCTTGCATCTTGGATTTAGTTCAGCACAAGATCCAGAGGATCTATTATGTGTGTAAATCAATAATATTAAAGGCCTTAGTGATATTGTCCTGATTAGCTTTTTTTGGTTTTGCTTTTTGTTGTAGTTTTGTTTATTTGTTTCTTGAGACAAGGTCTTGCTGAGTAGTTCAGGCTGGCCTTGAACTCATGGAGATCCTACTGCCTCAGTTTTAAGAATTCTGGGGTTATAGGCCACCATACCTGGCTGATAAGCTTTTTTAAGGGATGAAACTCAAGGTACTATTTGTGTACTACATGAATAAGGAGCATGTTAAAATGAAGTAATTTATATAGATGGTCTTTAAACTGCTTGTCTTTGGAGTTTGTGGAATTGTAACATTAGTAAGCACAGAGTGATGTGTGAACTAATGTTGGGCACTTTTTCATCTTAAACAAATTAATTCCAGAAGACAAATGACTTATTAGTATAAATATGTATTTTTGTATAGAAAAAAAAACACATTAAAAAATAGAGGAGCTGAGACAGAAACCAATACTGAGTATTACTTGGCCTGTGGGTGTGTGTGTGTGTGTGTGTGTGTGTGTCTGTCTGTCTGTGTGGGTGTGTGTGTGTGTGTGTCTGTCTGTCTGTGTGGGTGTGTGTGTGTGTGTGTCTGTCTGTCTGTGTGGGTGTGTGTGTGTGTGTGTCTGTCTGTCTGTGTGGGTGTGTGTGTGTGTGTGTCTGTCTGTCTGTGTGGGTGTGTGTGTGTGTGTGTCTGTCTGTCTGTGTGGGTGTGTGTGTGTGTGTGTCTGTCTGTCTGTGTGGGTGTGTGTGTGTGTGTGTCTGTCTGTCTGTGTGGGTGTGTGTGTGTGTGTGTCTGTCTGTCTGTGTGGGTGTGTGTGTGTGTGTGTCTGTCTGTCTGTGTGGGTGTGTGTGTGTGTGTGTCTGTCTGTCTGTGTGGGTGTGTGTGTGTGTGTGACTGTCTGTCTGTGTGTGAGTGTGTGTGTGTGTGTAATTAATGTAATTTTTGTCTCCCTGTCACAGTACATTATAGAATCATATGCTAAATCTCTTGGCAGTAATAAAGCCTCTGTGATTAGAGCATATAAAAAGGTATATTTCTTTCAAATAAATACTATCATCTAGCTTATTATTTAATGTGAATTAACTTCAGTGAGTCTAGCCAGTTCCTTCTAGAACATTCACAAGGAACTTGCTCCAAGAGACTCTACTGAAAATAAGATTCTTTCCTTTTCATCTCCTCTTCTCCCTCTTCTTTTCCCTCTCTTCCCTGCCTCTTCCCTCCCATTTCTTTCCTTGCCCACTCCCCTTCCCTCTGCACACTGTATCTTTTCTTCTTACTCTTCCTCTCCAGCTATCTCTCTGCCTTGCCACCCTGTCGTCCTTCTACCTCTGACCTGGAAGTGATTCTAACCTCACACACAGTTGCCTTCCTCACTTAAGTCTGCCCAGCCTCAGCCTGCAGCCAGCCGTGATTTGCTGGTGGGAAGGCACAAGGCCTCAAGAAAAAGTGACCAAGCTTCCAGGGGTTATGAATGGGGACTAAGGAAAGCCACCCTTAAGTAAATGGCCTGAAGCCTGACAGGCCTGTGTAGGTTGGTCTGTGCTCTTCACGACGGGGAGGCTTGGACCATTCCTCCCCTTTGCAGTCAGGATGGAATTAGATTTGCATCTATCCAGGTCACCCTTCTCTGGGCCTTGTGCCTTGTTCATTATCAGGGGCTTTGTTTACCTAAATCTCTACCTCTTGTTTTTTTTGTTTGTTCCACATTTACTTTACTTCCTTCTTTCTACTGGACTCTCTAGCCATCCACAGGAGTGGAATCGCTGCTCAGATTTCCCTTGTAACACTGCTCCACCCTTTGCCCTGCACCATGGACTTGATTGGAGCATCATCCTTCATGTTCTTACCGGAGACAAAACTGTCATTAAACTCCCTGAGGGGAGGGCCATACGCTGTCTCTCCATATCCCTCTGAAGCCAGGGCCTTGCCAAGCAGACCGAGGGTGACTCTCGCCAAAAGTCTTGGAACAGCTCCTTGCCCGCAGTGCTTGCCAGGGGAGTGTTGGCTTCCTTTATGTGCTCCTGGTTTCCATGTGCTGGCTGTTTTCTATTGCAGAAATAATATTGGTTCAAGGGTTCTCCAACCTAATGATGGACACAATTCTAAGATCTGAAATGACCTCTAGAATATTTAAAGAATTTCCATTCTCAGCAGCATTGAAAAATGCTTTCTCCTGTGACTGGTCTGTCATTGTGAGGGTTAGTTTTCTGTGCTGACTGGGCTAGGAGATGCTCAGAGAGCTGGTGAAACATTCTTTCTAGGTGTATTGTTCCTGTTTCTCTAATATAATCACATGCACCTTTGGAAGATGCTAATGATGATGACAGTGAACGTGTAGGTCCACGACTCACCCTCAGCTACTCCTTGACGGATGTGCAGAAGTTACCAGTTGCTCAGATATGAGTGCCGACAGCCCTCCCTGAACACAGGAGGCCTGGAGAAAAGGATGAAGGCTTTCTTCAAAGCTAGCTCTGGGGATATGGAGGTTCCTTGAAGGACCACAAATCACCTTGTCACTACATGCAGGTGCACAGGCGTCTTTATATAAGGAAGATGGGAGAGGCAATGCAGCATGATATACACAGTTCTAGCTGGCATTTCCCCCACTTCCCCCACAGCCCTGCTCTGCTCTTTTGCTGTGGAGAGGAAGCTGGACTCTGATCCCTTGGGTTGGCATCTGAGCGTCCTCCATTCACCTGAGCTGAAGAGAGGAGGACATGGTGCTTTATGCTCTGAGCATAAGGAAGTTTGGAGAAGTGGACCATCCTTAAAAGAAAGTCTAACCTTTAAAGTCCCCTATCATCCTGTGCGAACACAAAGTGCTCCTTGTGGGTGGCACTAGCACCTTGTACGGTGGGTGCCTGTGGAGTGGGCATGACAGGGTGGATGCTGTCACCGTCCCAGAGGCCTCACCTCTCCTTGGCCTCTCCTACTGCACATCTTATTGGAGCTCCCGTCCCCCTTCCTCTTCCACTGTGTTTCCTTTGTGTGCACCACCCCTTGGGAATCCCCCCACCAAGGGCAACCTGGGGATTCTGGTTTGGACAAGGCTGACCCAGCATTGTAGTCACTGCATTGTTTTGCCATCTGCTGTGGTATAGGAAGGATGCAGAGTAATTATGGGTGAGAAAGTCAAGCAGGGCAAAGAGTAAAAGGTGAGCATCTGTTTTTCCTCACCCTAACCTGAAGTCCCCTGCTGAGATTGCAGTTCTACTGAAGTTCCTGTTCTACTGAATACTGTGGTCACGCTGGGCAGGACCACACAGGTATAGATGCATTTTAACAAGGGTTCATATATTGCTTTGTAGGTATTGCTGATTTTTTTTTACTTTTAAAAATTATATGTCTATACTGTATTTATGTCCAGTGACAAATAGCATTGAAATTATTACAACCTAAAAACGTTAAAATCATCATGGAAGCTAAGGTCTAAGCTTTCATTTAGCTGTTCCCTTTAAAATTTAAAAAATGTGATACAAGTAGGTATTCATAAAGAAAATATGAAAAGCACTCTTTTTACTTCCAAAAAGACTCCAAAATTTCATAACATCACAATCCGAGAATAACAATAATTATACACTGTATATCATGATCTTAAAGGCTGGCCAAAATGTCACTCAGAGTACAAGTCATAAACAAAAATGTTTCTCTTTGTTCATTAAAAAAAAAAAAAACTTTTGCTATGAAAAACCTCTTTTGTTTGTTCCCTTTATTTTTGCCTAAGATATTAGGAATTAGATTCCAGTACCTCAAAAAAAAAAAAAAAACTTTTGTTTATTTTTTTGTTTTGTTTTGTTTTGTTTTGCTTTGTTTTTGGTACTGGGGATTGAACTTTGGACCTTGCACTTTTGAGACAGGCACAGAACCACTGAACTAAATCCCCAGCCCCTCTGCATTGTTTATGTGCAGTAAGGAAAATAAAAGCTTCTTTTTGGCTAAGTTAGCTTCCTGTTTCTGACAGTGTTTATACTGGAAATGTTAAGGAAAAAA